TACCGAACTTTTTTGGAATTAAAAAATGATCATCATTATTATTATCAAGTCCAGGGACAAATGCACATTTCCAAACGAAAATTCTGTTATTTCGTCGCCCACTCAAAAAATTGGACGGAAATACAATTAATAAATTACGATGAATCTTTCTGGGACAACAAAAGTATGGAAAACGTTTGCTAGTAGATGATATAAAATATCCTGAACACATTTTGGAAAAGATTAAAACAAAAAACAACATAAAAAATAATTTGAAATAAATTGTAATATTAAATAGTACTGTATAGAAGTATATATAATTATAAACATTTATATTGTATTTCTATTTTTATAGAATTATTATTCACAAATAAAAATAATAATTAGAAAAAATGTAATCCATAAATATAATATAATATATAAACGATAAACCTCAGTATATCACAGTAAAACGTGCTTCGGAAAAATAATTGAAATCCTCAAAAAAACTACTTCGGAGAAGTAAAAAAGGCTTTCTGTGCGTAAGTTGAAGAGATTGGGAGAAAAGATAGAACTTTGGTGTTAATAAAAATGTGAAATCAATACCCAAATTATGTGCCTCAACTTGAAAAAATATCTTATTCAAAAAAATTTCGAGATGTTCAACTGTACAAACATTAAAAAAAAATATTAGCACAGAACGGCGTGAATTACAGTTTGTCAACAAAAATTCGAATCAAACAGATTAACTCGTAAACAAGTCGACAATTTATGGCTAATTTTATTAATTCATCATTATTGTACGCCGTTCTGTGCTAATATTTTTTTTAATGTTTGTACAGTTGAACATCTCGAAATTTTTTTGAATAAGATATTTTTTCAAGTTGAGGCACATAATTTGGGTATTGATTTCACTTCTTTATTAAGCCCCAATTTCTATTTTTTCAACCGTGGTCCTTTTTGGCACAGAACTTTGAGATTGATTTCACATCTTTATTAACACCAAAGTTCTATCTTTTCTCCCAATCTCTTCAACTTACGCACAGAAAGCCTTTTTACTTCTCCGAAGTAGTTTTTTTGAGGATTTCAATTATTTTTCCGAAGCACGTTTTACTGTGATATACTGAGGTTTATCGTTTATATATTATGTTATATTTATGGATTACGTTTTTTCTAATTATTATTTTTATTTGTGAATAATAATTCTATAAAAATAGAAATACAATATAAATGTTTATAATTATATAATATACATATAATTATTAATTATAAATTTATATTAATAACACAATTATTTAATAATAATAATAATTATTATTGTATTAAAATAGTAATAATAGGTACATATTTACGTAGCTGTTGTTTGGTAACAATAAATCGAGTAAAATAACGTATGTAATAATGTAAATGCACGAGACCTCGGTATCGCAACAACGCGAGTACGTAAAAAATATTTTATAATATAATAAAAATAAATAATAATTAATAATAATTCTGCAAACGTAAAACTAGCTAGCTGTAAATAGCTGTTGTTGTGGGTGAGGTTCGCGGTACGGTAGCGGCCAGCGCGTGGCGGTTGCTACGGCGCGGCGTTGGATGACGTTGCTATGACGGACGAAATAAAAAGACTCACAAAACTGCAGTTTTTAACTCTGTCTCTCTCACACTCTGCATTCAACCAATGCGTGCGAGTGAGAGGTCCGAGCGCCGAAACGAAACTTAATGTATAATAGTCTCGCTATCGGTTGTCAAGGTGCTGTTTCTTATCGGTGTTACTTATGCACAGAAAGGAGTCTCTAGCGAGACTCTTCGATAATATTTTAATCTATTATAAATACGATTTACGAAAAATGCATCGTTTAATTTATTACATTATGTTAACTTTTTAATTATTTTACGAAGTCGTTTAGAAACAAGCATTTCACTTTAAAGGTTAAGTTTGATTAAGTATCAGGTTAGTTACGAACCAGCTAGCGTTTCGATTATTTTTATTACTTTACAGTCTTTACCCGCAATTATACCCTTCTTATAATATAGATAATAATATCTATGGTTATTTAAAATTTAAATTGTATATAATATACCTACCTTCTAATCCATGATATTACTATAATACTATGTACATAATATTATCATGGCATTTCATTAAATAAAATCATATTATTAAAACAATTATCACAAGCAATATGGATGCGACATTGAATGCAGAGCAATTAAATAATTATTATAATAAATCTGATAAATGTCATATTTGTGAAAGATATTTATCAGATTTACCTCCAATGTTAGATAAAAATTTAAAAATAATTAAAAACACTATTGAACATTATGAAAATATTGATGATGTTAAAAAATTTAAATCGAATGAAGATAAACTTAAAATAATTAAAGACACTATTGAATATTATAAATTATTAAATATTATAAAATATTATAAATTAAAATTGTATAAATATAAACTTAAAATAATTAAAGACATTGAATATTATGAAAATATTGATGTTGTTAAAAAATTTAAATTGTATGAAGATAAACTTAAAATAATTAAAGACGATATTGAACATTATGAAAATATTGATGATGTTAAAAAATTTAAATTGAATGAAGATAAACTTAAAAAAGAATTAGAAATTAAAAATAAAAATATGCGAAAAGTTCGGGATCATGACCATTTAACTGGAGAATATAGAGGAGCAGCACATTCTATCTGTAATCTTAATTATCAAAATCCACGTTTTATTCCAATTGTTTTTCATAATCTTTCAGGTTATGATGCCCATCTATTTATAAAATAATTTGGAAACGATAATGAAAGAATAAAATTGATCCCAAATAATGAGGAAAAATATATTTCTTTTTCAAAAGAGATGTCACGTGTAGTAACTAGGAAAGGTAAAAACATAAAAATATGTACAGAATTAAGATTTATTGATTCATTCAAATGTTTACCTTGTTCATTAGAAAAGTTAACAAATAATTTAAGAAATGATTCAAAATTAAATTTAAAAAATAAATTTAAAGAACTTAGTAAATTTTTTCCTGAAGAACATTTAGATTTAGTTACTAGAAATTTAGCATATCCCGATGAGTATATGGATTGTGAAGAAAAATTTAATGAAACATGTTTACCTCCTATTGAAAAATTTTATAGTTCTCTCACTGATAAAAATATAACTAAAGAGGAATATTAAAACTGACAGAAAATTCGGAAAGTGTTTAATATACAAAATATGCGTGAATTCACTAGTTTATATAATGAGATTGATGTTTTATTATCATTTATCAATAGATATAATAGAAAATTTTAGAGATATTTCTTTAAAAAATTATAAATTAGATCCTATGTGGTATTACACAACACCAGGATTTGCGTGGGATTGCATGTTAAGAATGACAAAAGTAAAATTAGATTTATAGGGGACATAATAAAACAAATATTGATAGAAATGATTTTGTAAATCATCTCAATACACTAATTAGAAATCAAAATCAAAAAGATTAGAAAAATATTTTAGGAAATATTGCATTTTTATTTTTATTTTTAATAGAACAATTATCTTAAAAATATTTTAATTATTATTGCATTTCGATTTTAATTATTAATAATTAAATTTTGCGGAAAATATTTTTATTATTTTTGCATTTCATAAGTTTTGCGAAAAATATTTTTATTATTATTGCATTTCAATTTTCTGATCTTTTTGGACATTGTGTTCTTTGTGATCTTTTATTGATATAATATTATGAGCTGCACCATAAAGGTGCTGCGCCAGGATTGGTATATATATACTACTTATATATACTGTACATATTTTTCCTTTGGAAAACGTATTTCCCTCAGCGACCCAAGTGAATTTCCCTTCTCCTTCCCCTAGTGTTTCGCATATTAATTGTATTGTTTCTATATTACGTTTGTCATTTTGAATTTGCGTTATATTTATTACATCACTTTGATAACTTGATACATCCGTTATTCCTATTTTTCCTTCCATCACATCGTAATATAAAGTTATTTTCGATTTTTTGTTAATTGTCTCTTCCTGCCTTTTTCCTAATGCTATTGTCAGTAATGAAATCCACCTATAATATACATATACTTTATCCTTTATTTTAAAATGCCATCTTGAGCACATCCCACGCTGACTTTATCATTTATTGTTTTATATTTTTTTTTAATTTAATTTGTGTACTATAAGTATTTCGTATCCTATACTATATCTATACTATATATATATATTCTACTATGTTTTATAATCATATTTTAGCTATCCTATCCTATTATTATTTAATTAGTTTTGATTAAAATTTCGTCATGTGTCTTTTACTTACGTAGTGTCTTAAACAGGGCCGTATTTAGGGGGGAGCTACAGGGTACTGTTGCCCCGGGCGGCCGAATTTGAGTTGGGCGGCTCGGCGGCTAATGTTTTTATATTTTCAATATTAAATCATTCAAATGATCTAAAATCTTTGAAGTGAAACTTCTTTACAAAACACAGTGTATCTCAAAAAAAAATATATAGCCAATCACGGCGTCAAGACACATACACACACACACACACACACATACTCGGTAACGGTCGAGCACTGTCGAGTGTCGATGGTCATGTTCATGAACATAATATTATAATAAGAATGTTATCTGATTTGTCGATTGGGAATTCTGAACCACGGTACAGTCAAAGTGAGTTATTTTGTTATCACCGTTGCGTAACACGTCACCCGAGTAGTTTGATGTTAACTGTACAATATTATCAATATTATAACATCGATAGATCGATCGTTATTCTGTGGTAATGTATTTATTTTGTGATGGATATTTGGTCATACTAATACTACAGAGAATTAATTACTTAACATTTTTGTAATTATTTATTTAAAGTAATAGTAAAACTGTCAAGTTAATTATAGTAATAATATGCAATTTATCAATAATATGGTGTAATTACTAATTTAATAAATTTATATTATATAAATATGTCCGGACAATATAGTGGATTACAAGCTAGGATTAAAGAAATTAATCCTTTGGCTGATTACATACCATGTTTAGCACACTCATTGGTACATGCGCTGCAAGTTGTTGTAAAAATGCTTGTAATTTTTTTAATTTACTTCAAAGTATATATACTTTTTTTTCAACTTCTACTAGTCGATGGGAAATACTATCAGCTTCAGTAAAAGAGTTATCTACTACACGTTGGTCTGCACGAGAAGATGCATGTAGAAGCTTAAATAATAATTGGGATAGAGTAATCAGTGCTCTTAAAGAAATTAAAAATAATGATAAACAAAAGGCACAAACGCGATGTGAAGCGAAAGGTATTTTGAAAAATTTGGCTTGCTTTGAAAATAATTTAATGTCAATATTTTGGGGAGATCTTCTTGGACGTTTAATGCTGTGAGTAAAAAGTTACGGTCAATCGATATTGACTTGTATTTAGTGGTTGAATTGTATGAATCGCTCATTCAATATATTTCTTATCTTCGTAATGAAAAAATGTTTAAAATGTATGAAGATCGAGCTTCTAAATTACATGGAGGTGACACAGAATATAAATTAGATGTACAAAGAAAGAGGAAAAGAAAAATTTTCTACGATGAACCACAAGATGAACTTAATTTTTGTGGAAGAAAACATTTTTTGATAAATACTTACTATGTTATTTTAGATAAAATACATACAGAGTTATTCAAACGAAAAGAGTCATATGATAAAATAACATTAAAATATTCCTTTTTTTTTAACCTAACTACAATATCGGAATCAGAAGTTTTTAAATGTGCTGAAAACTTATGTAAAATATACAAAGATGACTTAGATAAAAGCTTTTGTAATGAATGTGTACACTTCCAAAGTCATATTAAGTCTCTTAAAGATAAAGCTCCAAAAAATATCCGGGACCTAAGTACACTGATACGATCCAAAGATTTACAAACAATCTATCCATATGTGGACATTGCACTTAGAATGTTTCTGTGTACACCAGCAACGAAGTGTTCTTTAGAGCCCCATTGGTCATCGGATGATAACCGGAAGTCTTAATCTTGTTGATTTTTAACAATTTACATACGTCTTTGAAACAATTTGACATGAATTCAGTGCTCTGATAGCTTAAAATTTCATTCGGTATCCCGTGGATACAAACAAAATTTATTACGAACGCTTTTGCCACCACGTTGGTGATGTGACAAGGTATTGCTACCCCTAGGCTGAACTTTGTTAAGTCGCATTGCATCGTGAGTATATAATTGTTACCTAACCCGGTTGTAATCAAAGGCCCTACAATGTCCAAGAATATTTTTTCAAATGGTTTCGTACTAGTTGTAGTAATTACCATCGGATATTGAATATGTTTGTTAGTATTTTTATTCATTTGACAAGCTGTACAATTCTTTATATATTCTTTTACGTCCTGTTTTAAATTCGGCCAGTTAAATTGTTTCTTTATTTTCTTTACGGTTTTGTTGATTCATAGGTGTCCACCCAAAACGGAATTATGTAATTGTTTGAAAATTACTAATTTTTCTTCCCCGCTAAATTCGAATTTGGTACAAATTATTATTTCTATATTTGTATTACGAAAAATGTATCTTATCATTGATCTAACTTTTTCCCAATCTAGTCCGTCCTGTCGTCCTAATTGGTTCATTGCTAACTTAGTTAATTTATAATTTTCACAAAAATATTGAAGATTTAGTAAAGCAACGTGTAGATTTTGGTACATGGCTAATTGTTTCTTTTTCGTTTTTGTTATTAAAAATATTATGTACCTATCTCCACTTTTGAATTTTACGACGTCGCCTAAATCTTTATGAGATTTTAATTGTTTGTCTCTATCAAATCGCTTTCTTAATTCGTAATTAATACCTGATCGAAAATTATAATATTTTTCGATTTCTGATACTATGTGGTACTCCGAGGGACTGTTTATTAGTTCGCCGTGTACTTCCTTTACGTCCTTATTAGAAATTAATGTTGTTTCGAATTTTTGCATAAAATTATCATAACTTTCGTCTTTAATTTCCGTAATATTATACATACGCGATAACGCGTCGACATTGGTGTTTAATTTGCCCATTTTGTATACTATCTCATATTCATATTCCTCCAATTGTAGTCTCCACCTTGCCAATCGGGATAATGAGTCTTTTAAATTGAATAGCCATGACAAAGGCCTATGGTCCGTAAGAATTGTAAATTTTCTACCATATAAATACGGTCGAAATGTTTTTACACCGAATATAATCGCCAAACATTCCAGTTCCGTTGCCGAATAATTACATTCCACCCTGTTTAAAGTTCTGCTATTGGTAAATCCGATCCTATTTTACCTTGAGATAATATTGCACCTAGCGCCCTTCCGCTAGCGTCTGTCGTAAGTATAAATTGTTTCGTAAAATCTGGATATTGTAAAATTGGTTCTGAACACAATATTTCTTTTAATTTGTCGAAAGCTTTTTGACAATTTTTGTCCCAATTAAACTTTACGTCTTTTCTTAATAATTTTACTATTGGATTAGCAATAGCACTATAATTTTCTATAATACCCACTAAGTCCTAAAAAAATGTTTGAAGTGAAACTTCTTTACAGAGGGTACAAAAAAAATAAACAACGGTCGGGCACGGTCGGCCATCACGAGCCGCCGTCACGAGCCGCCGTCACGGACCAGCTGTGCATCGGTTAACCGGTAACATAGAAACGTAGTTTATTATTTTGGTCGTACCTATGTAATAACAACTAATTATATTAATTAGATTTTTTCATATAATATATAAATTCTGTGTTTCTATATTATCTATGTTATCTATGTTATCGGTATTATATTTGTGAATTATTATTACAACAAAAAAGATTGTCATTTTATTTAACTTAAAGTTTGGTCAATAGACTATTACGTTCTCAACCCTTGCCAGTGGTTTGTTTTATTTTAGTAGCCTTCAACTCTTCCCAGCAGTTTGTTGTTCTACGTTGTGTGAGTACTATTACATTTTACATAATTATTATATTATTAACTACTTATATATAAATTCTGTTTCTGTATGTTGTATCGGTATTATATTTGTGAATTATTAAAACAAAAAAATATTGTACATTTAACTAGTCAGCCATATCGGCTTAATGTGCTATTAAAATGCAACTGCTTATATAATGTAATAGTAATTTATTAACACCCGGTAGTCTTTTATATTATTATATTATTAAAATATTAATTATTTTTATATTTATTAACTTAGCTAAAAACTTAGCTAAATCAAACATGCCAAAAGATGGTGTTAAGATCAAGTGACCGAAAAAAAAATTTAAAACTACAGATTCAATTGGCAACATTGCTGACGAAGCTTCTGGTACATGCATTACGAAAGAACCTATTCAAAGTAACCGAGTAGTCGTTCAAGCTGAAGTTCATCTGCCTGTATCTGATGCAGAACGTGCACGACAGTACCGAAATCGACAAAAGGAAAAAAAATCGCAAAATAGCGTTAGTGGTTTATTAATGTCGTCACCTGGACCTATGTCAGATGCAGAACGTGCACGCCAGTATCGTATTCGAAAACGTGAAGATATATTGCAAAATAACCAGGGTGCTATATTAACGATATCACCAAGTCCTGTATCTGGTGCAGAACGTGCACGACAATTTCGTACACGGAATAGACATTTGAAAGCTCTGTGTAATCAACTTGATGACGTTGAAAACGATTTGGTTGTTTATGATGAATTTATGGTTGTAGAGAATTTGGATGTGGATCAAATAAATGAAAACAATGATATTGATAACAACAATTAATATATTGTATTGTATCATATTAATAACAATCGTTGCTATACGTAGCCTTGTCACGAATTACTGATCTTCACGGGCTGTTCATTATTACTAAAAATGATGAAGATTTGACGTTTTATCATGGAAGGAAAACATCAGATTCCACGAGGCGCCTACGTGATGAATTTACAAGACTTTCCACTCACTCTTTAGTCACAATTGACAGACAAATAAACAATTTTATTAAAGATGAACCGGGTTTGTCAATTTACAGTTTAAATTGTCAAAGTCTCCGAGCTCATTCATCAGACATTCTTGATTCAGTTCTGCAAAATTCGAAAATATTAATTTTCTCTGACACCTGGCAACACGAAAACGAGAATACTATAATACCTAATTTTAATTGTATCATTAAATATAAGCGGCCAAATGTTAGATCTGGAGGAGTAGCTATATATCACAATAACGACGATATAGTTAATATTGTCACTCCATTGACTGAGATGACAATAGGGCAATCAAAGTTATATAATTCCAAAATTACTCCAGTCGGTGAATTTTGTGTTGCTGAGTGTTTAAGACAAAATGAACCAATCATCATCATTGTAGCAGTTTATATCTCACCAAATAAAAAATTGATGATATAGTTTATTTTTTAAAAAGATCGTTGATTGCCTATTCTACCAAAGGTACACCATTACTCGGCAGGGGAGAAAATAAACTGCCTATGATTCTGAGTGGCGACTTTAATGTTAATTTTGCATCGGATAGATCAGAACCATTAACACAATTTTTTCGAGAACATCTCAATTTATCAATGAATAATGATCCAAAAATTCCAACAACGCGGTCAGGAACCACAATAGATGCTATTTTCACACGATATCTTAATAATGTACAATCAAAAACGTACATAACTTATTTCAGCTACCATAAGCCCATTGTATCATTAGTTAAAAATAAATAATAATAAAAAAAAACAGTTCTATTAAATATAAAATTGTAAAGTGTATTTTTTTTATTTTATTCCAATACCTCATATCAGTTGCATGACTGAAAGAAGTTTCACTTCATCCCCGCGTACTTGTTACACTCTCGACTTTTTTATTTGTTTAACATTTTTAGGAACCGGAAAATCCTTACAGATTTAACTTTCGATTGGTCCGGTTTGATTCCTTCGTAACTAATTACATGACCTAAAAATAAACATTCCCGTTGTAAAAAACTACATTTGTCTGGTTCTATTTTTAGATTTTGAATACGTAATCTTTCGAATACGTCTATTAATTTTTCATTGTAGTCTTGTAAATTCTTAGCATACACTATTATGTCATCCAAGTATACTAAACATTTCATTCCTATTAATCCTGACAATATGTTCGTCATCATTTTTTGAAATGTCACCGGAGCTGAACTTAGTCCCATAACTAATCGTTTAAATTGATAATGCCCTTGTCCCGTTAAAAATGCCGTAAGTTCTTTTGATTTTTTAGAAAAAGTCACCTGGAAATATGCAAACTGAACAGTTGACATTGTCCTAATTGGTCTAATATTTCCGTTATATTTGGTAATAGGTGAAATTCATTTAAAGTTACCTACTTCATTAAGTACCTACTCTAAAATCGATAACTATTCTGAATTTTTGTTTCCCAGAGGCGTCCTCCTTCTTTTTGACTAATATTAGTGGTGCATTAAACGGACTCATTGATCTTTCTATGATTTCATCTTTCATCATTTGACCTATTTGTTTTTCTATCTCCGGTTGTTGTGAAAATGGTAAACGGTATGGTTTTTTATAAATCGGTTTCAAATCCTTAGGAATTTTTATTACGTGTTCTGCTGCCGTAGTACACGTAAGATTATCTCCTTCTAAATAGAAAATATCTGCGTAATGTTCACATATTTTTATTATCGAATTATATTCGTGAACTTGAAGGTGATCAGTACGTATCAACATTCAACGCCCTGACCCGACGCGAGCGTTCAGTGTCAATTGTGTTTATATACCGTACGCTATCTGTCAAAACATCCGTGTCGTATGAAATATTACGCGCTTGACCTACATTTATTTCCTGGGTCATTTCAGATATATTTAATATGCTTATAGTAATTTTGTTGTTTTTGACTGTATTGTAAATATTTGCGCAATATATGTCCGGTATTAATTCTTGCTTATTAATTAAAATATTTTTGTTATTCATTTCTTTATCAGGTATATGGATTTGTACTATTGTTTCTGAGCGCGGTTTTAATGTAAAACAAATATCACTATCGCTT